TGTCTCTGCTGCTGCCGTTGTTGTCTCTGCTGCTGCCGATGTTGTCTCTGCTGCTGCCGATGTTGTCTCTGCTGCTGCCGATGTTGTCTCTGCTGCTGCCGAATGTTGAATTGTCGCTAACGCTCTTGTTCTTTCTGCTTCAGGGATGGTTTTCGAGTACCCGAAGCCTCCAGGACTGAAGTCTGGGTCAAGATCCGGTGGATGTGTCCAAGAGGTGAAGTTCACGATGGCGTCGCTGTCAGCGGTGCCAAGGTCCGGGACGAAGTCGAGAACGAAGACGTTGTTTTTCAGCACTGCATTCCCGATATAGAGACCTCCCCTGCCGTTATACAGTTTGAACTCCTGTGCAGTGCTGTCTGCTTCGAGATGGATACCCTTCGCCATCAGCTGACTGACGCTCAGTAAGTTGTAGCCGAGTCCCTCCGCAATTAAAACCTTTGACATTTGTAGAATGACGTTTGTCTCTCGCGACTGAAGTTGTACAATTCCTTGTCGTCGTGTGCGCAGGTTCTGGTTGTTGGCGACGGTGATAGACGACTTCGCGGTGAAGTTGCTGTTCTCGTTGAACGAAACGACCCGAAGAGCACATATGCTGCCCGCAGCAACTGTCCAAGAACCAGGTATCTTTCCCGGACGGCTCACTCTGGGCGATAGCTGCGTACGTTGGGTTCGGCTCCAGTGTCTCGCGGCGCGGCGTGCTTTCGTCAAGAAGTTCTTCGGGTGAGTATTTTGGTGGTGATTCGGTGATGCAAGAGTCGGAGAGTCTTGCCATACAACTGAAGATATTTCTTGCTCCTTGTGCAGGTTGTCCCGTTGATGTTGTTTGAACTTGAGCGGTGGGGTTCGCTTGTGTTGAAGCGACTTGGCTGCTTGAAGGTCGAAGCTGTCGTTGTGGCGGTGTTGACTGTTGTCGATTCGGGCAATGTGTGCGCGGATGTCCTGGCGTCTTGCAGAGATGGCAGAACGGAGGTACAGGCTTTGGTTGATGTCGGCTGTTGTTGTTGTTGTAGCGTCGCTGAGTGGGGAACGCAAATTCGGGAACTGACGTTTTCTTCTTGTGCCACTCCTCTTGCAGGTCCATGTCTTGCTGCTCGGCGTGAATTTCGGCGCAGAGTGCTGCTTCGGAAATCTTCCCGTGAGCTCGGAGAATGGCTCGAGTGGAGCGCCAATGAGGACCAAGTCCAGTGATGACGACTGTGACGAAGGCTTTTTCGGAGATTGACCCTCCGCATCGAAGGAGTTTGTCGCGTAGTTCGCGGCAGCGGCTGATATACGCCATTCCCTTTTCGCCTGGTTTCATCTCGACTGTTGTCAGTTGCGCCATCAACCGACTCTGATTTACGCTGTCTGTTGCTTGATACAGGCTCTTCAAGTGGCTGTATGCGAGTTCGGCGGAGTTGCCGTATCCCCGGTAAGACCGTATATTCTGCTGCTGATTCGGAGTGATGTTCCTCAGTAGAATCGTGTACACCATCATTGACTGATACGTGTACTGCTGTTTGTCATACTGTGTGCCGTGTGTTGGGTATGGCAGGGATCCGTCGAGAAGCCAAGAATCTGCGCACCTTCCATCATCAATTCGAACTCGAATGACCAGGTGAAGAAGTCCTTTCCGTCGAAGGGCCTTGACGTCTGCAGTTTTAAGACGTGCGCGAACTGCGACTGAACTTGAAGTGCGTCCAGTGTCTTCTCTTGTCCAGGTGCAGGCTGTGGTTGTGGCATAAAGCTGACGGAGCCGCGCTGGGGCTCGTACGGAGCAAAGGTAGGTTGCTGCTGTTGATTTGCACGTGCGTAGGATGAACCATCAAGGCTCATTGGAGTCACGTTGTTGTTGTTGTTGCTGTTGTTTGACTGCGCAGGTGCCGACTGTTGGTGTTGCTCGTAGAAGGACATGAAGGATAAAAATTTCTCCATCATGTTCTGATCGAAGCTTGCAGGTTGATTCGCGGGAGTCTCGGTAGAAGTTGCTCTTGGTCTTGCTGCCGTACCCTCCTCTGTCTGTAGGCCAGAGGCAGGAGGTGGAGTAGGAGTAGTACCTGGGGAGCCGTTAGAGGAGCTCCTTTCCTTTTGTGTTGCCATGCCTTCTGACGTTGTAGATAACTTGATGGTAGTTGAGTTCCCCCTGTTAGCTCTCATACCATGTTGGGCTGAGAAAAGCCCTTGGGATCTTTGCAGGGTTGAACTCGGGGTAGGACTTGTTGTAATTAGCGGAAGCGTTTAATGGAGTAGTTGAACCACCTTGTGCTAGTATGTGAGGGCAAAGTGAATTGATTAAAGCAAAGAGATACAAGATTATATAAGAGTACAAGGAATACGAAGAGATACGGTTGCAACTACTTTACTGTTGCTGTTGCGGTTCGATACAGTGACGACTCGGGCAACTGCTCTGTAGCGAGTCAGTTGTGTGTCCTCGCTATCGCGCTGTACTTGTCAGGTCAAAGGTCGCTGACCTTTGACTTTCGCGTAACCTTCAGCAACTGCTCAACCTCCGAGGGTTGACTCGCCAGTGCTTCGATATGCTTCACTTCGCTTCTGACTTGGTGTTTCGACACGACAGAGGCGCTTAGAATTAATTGTTTCCAACAGGTGATACGGTATATCATTGTATTTGCATGTTTTAATCATTTCAATCATTTTACATCCACTCTGAATTGAGGTAAAGGGCCCACCACCACCACTCAGTCGTGTGCGAACCTTCCTGAGGTGATCCTAGGATCGATCAACATCTGATCGCAGCAGCAAGTATTGCAAGCATGCTCCTACTCCATCATCATCAGCCTTTCTCCATCTCAAAGTTTGCTCGTGTCGTGTCATCCTCTTATCAACTTATATTTCTAGAATTCCCACACAAATTTCCAATGCTTTTGCCTCGCTTGGAGTTGTTCACATTCTTAGCTCCCCCCCACCCTCACTATCTACCTAGAGAGACATAACACACATCAGATTATTGTAGAAAGTGCGTTACAGAACATGTACTTCGTCTTTGTGATCCGTGCGGGCATAGCGCGTACACGCAGAAAGAAAAGCCGCCTCGGGTGAGCCGGTTGCTGCTGCATCCTTCCCTCCCTTCCCTCCCCTCCCGCCTCGCAAACCAAAGCCCCCCTTCCCCCCCTCCAACCACACATCTGCGATTCAGCACAACACCATGGCAGCGCACCAGCAGCATCACCCGCAAAAAGCTTCAGCGGCAGTCAGCAAGATCACTTGCGCCACCCACGAAGGACGACGAGACGAGTTTTATTTCATCACGTGCTTCTCAGCCGCGTTTCACACGAGCCTCAAGACGTAGGGCGCCAGTCACTTGAGTCCTCATGCTGCTCATTGTGAGTTTTGTTTGAGTGCTCTGCTGTGCTCGTGATGTGACTGAGCCAGAGATGCGAGATTAGCCCGATGCGAGCAGCACTTTTATAGCCAAGAAAGGCTCCTTTCACGAATCACAACCACTTTTGGGTGTACGCGTCGCGGCAGACACAGTACAGTACAGTAGTTCTGTCCTGTCACCGCCGATAGCCTCCCCGCCCCAAACATGCATCTGGTGGTTCATTTCCAGTGTGACGATGACACGGGAAACCGGCTGTGACTTGTCGGTGCGGCGCGGCCTTCGATTCTGGATGATATTCTGTCGTACAGAAACCTTTTTCAAGGGTTATTCATTACCGAGGTGCTACCATAACTTCAATTAGTACTACCGTACGACTCGTACCACCTGGGACTACTAACTCTTAGGTCACTACAACCTGGAATGCGAGTTTAGTACTACTAGTGGCTCTACAATCATCGCAGGAACCAGCGCAGGGCACGTATTGCTCCAGAGTCCGCCGGCGGCTCTACTAGATTTTTGAGTCGACTCTCAATGCGAGCTTGAGGCTCTACAATCATCGCAGAAAGAGCGCAGTAAAACACATACTCAAGACCACAGTCCGGCTCTAGCCTCTTAAAGCGCGACTCTGCCGGCGCTCGGACCCCGACTCGGAAGTGTCATTTGAGAATTCCAGCATTTGCGAGCGCTTTTCTTCAGCGAGACAGTTGCGCTTTCACCTTCCGCGAGATGCGCCGCCGCCTGCTGCGGCTGTTGTCGCGGGCGGCGCGGCCCTCGTGCGCGTCTCCGCTGGAGTCGCTTTCCAATGTTACTGCTAATACTACTACCGCTACTACTATAACTCCAAGTAGTGCTAGTAGTAATTGCCGCAATACAAGGCAGGTGATGCGACGGTTGCAAGAGCATGACGATAATGATGGTAGTACCGCCGCGACGACCGCTGCAACGACCGCCGCGGCATCATCACGGGCGCCGTGCAGCGCCGCACGAGTAGTGCTACTATTCCGGCGGAGGTTCGCGGCAGTGTTGCTTCTTGGAGCTCTCAGCGCGATGCTGCCGTTACCACCGCCCGCTTTCTTCACGAAACTGGCGAATGCCGAGCCTTTACAGCCCTCGCAAGGTAACTCCACAATCCATTGGCCATACCCGTACGATTCCATACCATTCCATACCATACCATACCATACCACACCACACCACACCACACCACACCACACCACACCACACCACACCCATACCATACCATACCATACCATACCATACCATACCATACCATAACATAACATACCATACCATACCATACCATACCATACCATACTATACCATACCATACCATACCATACCATACCATACCATACCATACCATACCGCGTATGCCTGATCGTGACATGCCGGTGTCATGTGGCGTAGTGCGGTGTAGCGCAGTGTAGGCGGTGACTTGCAGTGTCGTGCGGTGCGGAGCGGAGCGGTGCTGTATGGTGCCATCCCATGTCGTGCCGTGCAGTACCTTGCTGTGCTAAAACCAGGGCTTCTATAAATCTTTCCACAATTCCGTGCTCAGTGCCCAACCCACGCGGAATGAGCACGGCTTCATGCCTCGACCTTCTCCACCGCACCCCACTGCATGCACTGCTCTACTCTACTCTACTCTGCTCTGCCCTGCTCTGCTGTGAATGCGCAGTGATATTCCTGAGGGACTGCGAGCAGGCATGGAGCCAGAGCTTCGACGGGTGGGACCCCGATGTCCCGGACTGCCTGGCGACAGAGCTGGTGGATTGCCGAGGAGGCGACGGCATGATCTCCAGCATGTGAGACGACACCTCCACGTGACTGCTGCTCTGAGACTCGCAGCTCCTGCTCGTGCCTGCTCCCTTCCCGCTGCTCCCTTCCGCTGCTCCCTTCCGCTGCTCCCTTCCGCTGCTCCCTTCCGCTGCTCCCTTCCGCTGCTCCCTTCCGCTGCTCCCTTCCGCTGCTCCCTTCCGCTGCTCCCTTCCCGCTGCTCCCTTCCCGCTGCTCCATTCCCGCTGCTCCCTTCCCGCTGCTCCCTTCCCGCTGCTCCCTTCCCGCTGCTCCTGCTCCTGTTCCCTCCAACGTCCATCCCACTCCGCGCTATTCCACTTCTTATTTCCACTCCCGGTCGCATTTTCACTCCCACTTCCACACGCACTCCCACTCCCCCTCCGACTCCACTCACACGCCCACTCCCACTCCCACTCCCACGCCCACTCCCACTCCCACTCCCACTCCCACTCCCACTCCCACTCCCACTCCCACGGCCACTCCGACTCCCACTCCCACTCCCACTCCCACTCCCACTCCCACTCCCACTCCCACACCCACTCCCACGCCCATTCCCTCTCCCACTCGCACTCCCGCTGCCACTCCCACACCCACTCCCACTCCCACTCCCACGCCCACTCCCACTCCCACTCCCACTCCCACTCCCACGCCCACTCCCACTCCCACTCCCACTCCCACTCCCACTCCCACTCCCACTCCCACTCCCACTCCCACGCCCACTCCCACTCCCACTCCCACTCCCACTCCCCTTCTCGCTTCAACCCCACCCCCACGCCTTACTCCTCAGGCTCCCTCTCCTACTCCACCCCCACTTCTACTCCCACTCTCACTCCCAATCCCATTACCGCTCCCACCCCCACTCCCACACACTCCTGTAGTAGTAAGTTGCACAATGGGGATGCTGCAAGTCGATAGTGATACCATGTGACGATGAGGATGGTTTGGTGGTACTATTGGTGATGTGGTGTGATGGGTGGAAGTGGTGTGGTGCTGTTGCCCTTATGCAGTGATCTCATGATGATGATGATGATGATGATGATGATGATGATGATGATGATGATGATGATGATGATGATGATGATGATGATGATGATGATGATGATGATGATGATGATGATGATGATGATGATGATGATGATGATGAATGCTCCAGGATGGTCGTCAAAAAGTATCTGCCGGGCCCTCTTCCCAACTCAATCAGCAACCTTTGGCATCGCACTTACCTGTACGTGCGTGCATGCACTGCACTGCACTGCACTGCGCTGCACTGCGCACGCTGCAGGAGGATTCATGCATGCATGCACCGATGTATGGCACAAAACCGTTGTCCTCCGCGATATGCATGCAACTCGCCCCCCATACTGCTGCATGCACCTTGCCCATACTGCAATTTGCCGCATACTGCACTGGCCCGAGCTATTGCACTGCATGCATAAGCCATGTGCGATGCACAGGCGTGGATTATACCTGCACATCAGCAGCCCAATTCTAAAACGAGTATACTGTATCCGCTCCAACACCTTTCTAGACTACCACCCATCCCCTCCAATCCCCTCTCATCCTACCCTCCTATCGTTCCTTGAACATTCCTCCTCAGTTCCCTGCAATACACCACCATCAATGGGTCCCTACCGTCCGGGCTCGGAGCACTTTCTTATCTGCGGGTGCTGTGAGTAGAGTGTTTTGGCATTGCCTGCCAGCTAGGAGTGGGTGTGCGTGCGTGCCTTATTTTGTTATTGCTTCTCTCTCTTCTCTGACGCACTTGGGGTGGAGTATGCAGGAGTTTAGGGTGCCTTTGTCCTCTGTTTGTGTATGGCTCAACACACCTCCCTCCCTCTCCTCTCCTTGCTTCTCTTTTCTCACGTTATTGTCTCTATCGTTCGTTCAATCCCCTCCCCCAATCCACTTGCCTTTTCCATGCCCAGTTCAGTTACTTGCCTTCAATTTCTCTCCTCGCCTCACCTCCCTTCGGTCAACCCGTGCAGCTTCATCTTGTGCCCATCCTGATCTCATCCCACCATAATCATCTCAACCCATCTCCCATTCTTATCATCTCATCCCACCGTCCTGCAGGTACCTAAACAGCAACGAGTTCTCGGGAACAATTCCCGACATCTTTTCCTCCCTCACTATGCTGACCGAACTGTAAGGTGGTGGAGGGCTTCAGAAAATGGGAGGAGGGGTGGGTGTCCCTGGAAAGGGGTGGGGTGGGTGGGGGGCATTGGAAAAGGGGAAAGGGCCATTGGAAAACAGGCATATTTTTGTTTATATATATATTCTTTTTTCTTTTGCCCGCTACGCATGCAACGCTGCTGCTGATTCTAACAACCGTCAGTCACTGCCCCGTGTAGCCGTTTCTTCCGTCCCTAGCTGTCCATTTTTGAAACCCCTTTCCCCACCCCACACCCCTCTTGTGCTTGCCTACCCTTCTGCCGTTCCCTCCCGTCACCCTTCTCTCATCACCTCTCTCCTTAATTCCACTGATGGTCGATTTAACCGTCTGCTCGAATTCGCTTCAAGTTCTAACTTCTACCTCTCTCTGTGTTCTTCACTCAACCCCACCTGTCTACCTCTGTTCTGTATTCCTCCCCTAATTCCCCGGCCCACCCTTACTCTGACCCTCCATCCCAATCATCACGCAGGAATCTCCAATACAACAGGTTGATGGGGTTCATTCCCCAGTCCATGGGTTTGCTCACCCGTCTCAACTCCCTGTGAGTACCATCAGTCAGTCACACATTCCCATTGTTTCTTTCTAACACTAGGTTCCTCACAAGTTGCACTAGGCCAACAGCTCACTAAACTGACGATATATCTCCGCAATTGTGACTCCTCACACGGACATGACATTACCTCTTAATCCACTGATGGAGACACATCCTCGCAGGGTTCTTACGAGGAACTGACGATGTGTGCACACATCGAAAGAAGGCTTCAATTACAGCCACGACCTTCCTCTCCTCTCCTCTCCTCTCCTCTCCTCTCTTGTCCTCACTTCTCCTCTCTTCTCGTCTCCTCTCCTCTCATGTCCACTCCTCTCCTCTCCTCTCCTATCCTATCCTCCCTTATCCTCTCCTCTCCTCTCCTCTCCTCTCTTCTCTTCTCTTCTCTTCTCTTCTCTTCTGTTCTCTTCTCTTCTCTTCTCTTATCTTCTCCTCTCCTCTCCTCTCCTCTCCTCTCCTCTCCTCTCCTCTCTTCTCTTCTCTTCTCTTCTCTTCTCCTCTCCTCTCCTCTCCTCTCCTCTCCTCTCCTCTCCTCTCCTCTCCTCTCCTCTCTTCTCTTCTCTTCTCTTCTCTTCTCCTCTCCTCTCCTCTCCTCTCCTCTCCTCTCCTCTCCTCTCCTCTCCTCTCCTCTCTTCTCTTCTCTTCTCTTCTCCTCTCCTCTCCTCTCCTCTCCTCTCCTCTCCTCTCCTCTCCTCTCCTCTCTTCTCTTCTCTTCTCTTCTCTTCTCTTCTATTCTATTCTCTTCTCTTCTCTTCTGTCCCATTGATGGAGGCGTATCTGTGCAGGGTGCTTTCAAGGAACCGGCTCTATGGATCCATCTTACCAGCATTCAAGGACTTCACAAGCCTACGCTACATGTAAGCTGCAATCCCTCCTCTCCCTACCACCCGTTCCGCCTATCCTACATTCTTCACACTTCCGCTTCTGCTTCCTCTTTTGTCTTTTATCTCAGCTCTTGCCTGTCTCCACTTCCACTGCTCCCCTCTGCGGCGTCGTCTCTTCATCCCGGCCATCATTAGATCGTGTACCTTTTACCCTTGGTTGGTTATCCCTTGGTACAGGCACCTGGATGACAACCAGTTCACAGGAGGAATTCCCGACATCTCCGGTCTAACCAACTTGGTTATCTTGTCTGTTCGTTCTTTCCCTGTGTGGTTAGTTATTATTACTATTACTACTAGCATTATTACATCTTATTTTTCTTCTACCTTTGGTCCGTCCGTTCCAAGAAAAAATGCAACCCTGTTTGTTGCGATTGCATATATCCATGACTCTCCGTAGCTTCCGTAACACTTCTACCTCTCAGTCCTCGTTCTCCCTTCCTCCTTATTTCTCACCATACCCTGCCTCCCACATGTTGCAGGAACCTCCAGCGCAACAGCCTAACAGGTGCTATTCCTGCATCACTTAGCCGCCTAAGCGAGCTATGGACCTTGTAAGTGCGATCATGCAGGGCAGCCTGGCATCCTTCCACTCATGTCATAACAGTCATTGGCATTCCACTCCCATACATGCTGCTGCTACTGCTCGTTACATTGCTGCTTCTGTTGCTGTCAATACCTTTACTGCTAACTCAATTGTTCCATGTGACTATACCCAGATACATGAGTTATTTTGGACTCATTTATTGTACACGTATATCATTAGCTGATGCATTGCCACCAGTCGCACTTCTTTTCATTTCTGTTCTTTTTTCACATACCGTAGTTCTACTAGCAATTTGTTTCCCAAACCATCCCACCCCCCTCGCTCATTTCACTGCTGTCCCCTCAGCCCCTCTCCTCCACTGTTTCCACTCCATTCCTCATTCCCTGCGGCTCTTCTACTCTCCTATCCTTGTTGAGTTTCGGAGAGGTTTCAGAAGTGATTTCTTCCAGTCTATTCCTCCGTCCTTGTTATTCCTGCAGCTCTCTTCCTCCTCTCCTTCCCTTATCCTCGCTTGCCCTCCATTCACCTTTATCCCAACCCCTCTATACTGCAGCCTCCCTGTGGCCAGCTACACAAACCAAGTGAAGAAGCTGCCCTCATTCGTCCCAGCTTCACTTCTGTGTTTCACATCATGATGACCTGTCCCGAACATTCAAATTCTCACCACCCTCCAGGTATCTAGGTCACAACCAACTCTCCGGAACAATTCCTGACATATTTGGGCCACTAACCAAGTTATGTGACCTGTATGTATGAGTGAACCATTCTCAATACTTTGTTCGTTCGTAAGTTTTTCTTCTTTCTTTCTTTCTTTCTTTCTTTCTTTCTTTCTTTCTTTCTTTCTTTCTTTCTTTCTTTCTTTCTTTCCCTTTTCTTTTTGTGACAATGCCTTGCAAACTCATTTGGTTGCAACTATCAACCCTTTTATGCTTTTTATCTTCCACCCCTTGCTAGGTTCACCTTTCGAGAATCCTTACAAGTGCTGCACCTTGCCAGGTTCTCTTCTATTCGCACTCGCTGTGTTATTCAAACCGTCCACTGCTGCTTTCCTACCTTCATTCGCCCGCCCACCTCATGTCATCACCCTGCAATTCAAACCACCCTTCAGGGTGTTCGAGAGAAACAAGCTACTAGGTCCCATTCCCACCTCCATTGGCTTGCTAACCGAGCTCAGTTTCCTGTGAGCACCTTTATTCTTCACCCGCCCACCCACTCACCCACCCGCTCACCCACCCAGTCACCCACCCACCCACTCACCCACCCACTCACCCACCCACTCACCCACCCACTCACCCACCCACTCACTCACCCACTCGCTCACTCACTCACGAATTCTGCTGCGTTTGCCTAAACACTCACTTTGACTCCCTCACCTGGTGCCGGTGAAGAGTTGCACATGCACTGGGGTGCTTCTTGATGCTGCTGCTCTTGTTGGTGCTGCCAGTGCCACCAAAGCCTCAAGTGCTGCTGCTGGTAATTTCCTCCTTTGCCCCGACCACGACGCTTCACGCTTTCACCGAGGCCCCATTCCTGTCCAATTCCTGTTGCTTTCCTGCGATTCCCAGACGCCTAATTGTTATCCCACTCCCAAACTCTACTCTCTTCTTCTCCCATTTCGCATTCCTCCTGTTTGTCTCGCTTTCAATCTCCTTTCCTCCACCCCTACTCTTCTCTCCTAATTCGTGCTTTCGTCTCTCAATCTCTTGTCTCAACCTCTCCATCCCTCGTTCGTTGCTATCTTCCTTCTTGCCTCTTTGCATTTTTTCCTCCCATTCTCCATTCTCTCTGTGTTTTTTGTACACTTCATACCGACTGTATCGTTTGTTTCTGTCTTTTTTTCTTTCTTGCTTCCTTCCGTTCTTTCCTCGTCTATTCCCCCGTCTGGTGTCGGATCCACTCCACTCCTGTTTGTATAACCTGTCCTAGCCTCCCAGGCATGTTGTTCCTTTCCGTTTCAATAATATCCTCTTTTATCCCTCTCCATTGTCCTTCTACTAACCAATCTTGTCCTCTGCTGCTTGATCGTCTCTCTCATCCCCAGCTTCTGTTCTACTCGTTCATAGCCTTCTCCCCCCTGCTCTTTTATCCTCTCGTCTCCTTTCCTCTCCTCTCATCTCCTCTCCCCTTCCCTCCCTTTCTCTCATCCTCTCTAATCTCCTCCCTTCTCCTCGCACCTATCCTCTTCTCTCCTCTTCTCTCCTTACCACGAATTTCATCTCTTTATGTGCCTCCTCTCGTCTCCCCCAAGATCCACTGTTCCCATTCATTGGCTCGGATTCACTGACTCATTTGCACTCTTCCATTTCGGTCGGACCATGACCGTGACCATCCTTCACGCTTCAGGTACCTGAACAACAACCGCCTCTCTGGAACTATCCCCGACCTCTTCACTACCCTCACTAATATAAACCTGATGTGAGAATAATTTTTGTTTTGTTTTTTTTTGCTTTTCATAGAAATGTAGAATCTGAAGAATACGCTGATTTTTTCTCTGGCCATCACCAGCTTTCGACAGCTCTGGAGTGCATGCATGGCGTTACTAACGGACAGCCTCACATGCTTTTGAAGCAAATGCCGTCACCAAGTGAAAACGCATCCCCAACAATGGTGATCACTGTTCACTCTTATCATCACCTTGAGACAAGCGGCGAGTTTTGAGGCTCCTAAAAAGTGTCAAATGCTGTTTACTCTTGTCATCACACGTGGCTGTAACCAGTCGCCCCCATCCAGTCACCCTCATCCAGTCAACCCCCATCAGTTGTGCCTATTACAGACATCTGCATAGAAATTGAGAAGATGTCTGTAACGTCCAGTTCAGGGTTCTTGAATAGAACAAGGTTGTATGTTCGTAACGTACAAGTGAGATAGATGAGCGTATCTATGTCTCCTCTCCTCTCCTCTCCTCCCATCTCATGACCACTCCTCTCCTATCCTCATCTCTCTTCTCCTATCCTCATCTCTCCTCTCCATCTCCCTTCCGAGAACCATTTCATTCCAGTCACCTCGTCCCTTCCGTCCTTCAACGATTCTTGAGGTGAGGGGCCTATTGATTCCTGCTTTCAGCGAACCTTACTTCCCTGTCTCCCATGTGTCTCCTTCCTCCAACCATCCACCCACCTCACACCCACCCTTCAGGTACTTAGGCAACAACCTTCTCACTGGAACTATTCCCGATTTCTCTTCCCTCTCGAACATGTGGTTTCTGTAAGGCCCATAAATGCACTGATTGATGAATCTTATTGTACTGTACACCGCAATAAAGCCATGATTTCAAAGGCACCTCCACAATAAATCTCTGAGAGTATTTTGATTTCATTTACACCTCTCGCCTCTACCCCTTGTCCTCTTTTTTCTCAACCCCTAAGCGTCCACAGCACTGTGTTTCCGCTCCTCATCCTCTGCTTGTCCCCATTCTCCCTTCTGCACGCGCATGCTTCAGGGAATTGAGCTAGAACTGTCTTTCAGGGCCAATCCCTTCTATTTTTGAGTCGCCTTAAAAACAAGACCCATCCTCCTTCGCTCGTCCCCATTCCCTCTCCTACACTCGTGCTTCAGAGATCTGAGCTACAACGGTCTTTCAGGACCCATCCCTTCATCAATTGGCACATTAAGCGAGCTACGTTCCTTGTGAGTCCCTTCACCCTGTCACGTCACTCCTCTAAAGGCGCCTCAGAAGTCATTGGCACATTAAGCCAGCTATGTTTCTTGTGAGTGCCAACAACCTGTTAGCCCTATGCTCCTCTGTTAACACTTCACTTCGTTGCCCCACAAACTGCTGATACACTATACGACACACCACGGGTCGGCTCTTTTCGTTCCTAATAAGACTTTTTTGTCTCCCCTCGAATATGCTTCGTGTGTGTGTTATAATCTAGTGCATTGTGCTCCCATTTTAACTGCACCCAATCAGCAACAGCATGTTACAGCTTAGCTCCCCGCACCATGCTTCCTCACACCATGCCTCCTCAAACCATGCCTCCTCACACCAGGCTTCCTCACACCATGCTTCCTCACACCATGCTTTTTCACACCATGCTCCCTCAAATCATGCTCCCTCACACCATGCTCCCTCACATCATGCTTCCTCACACCGTTCCTCACATCATGCTCCCTCACACCATGCTCCCTCACACCATGCTCCCTCACACCATGCTTCCTCACACCACCATGCCTCCTCACACCGTGATTTCACTGCGTGCACTTGAGTTTGTGCAGGGAACTCAAGTGGAACAGCCTCACAGGGCCTATTCCCTATGCATTGCAAAGTCTTACCAACCTTATATATTTGTAAGTGCTTAATGAGTTTCATAGTCACCTCAGCGAGCTCTGAGTACCAAGCTGCTCTATCTCTGAGTGCCCGCGGCAGCATTCGCTTTTCCCCCCCTCCTCTCTCCCCTCTTTTTCCGGCACCCCTCGTTTTCAATATTATTCTCTCACCTTATACTACTGATATTCCCCTCTTTTCTGGATTCAAGTACACTCAGTGCCTTTCCTCCTCTCTTTGCCCCTGCGTTTTCCTCTCATACTCACCCCTTTTTTTTCGCCCTCTTCTCAACCTCTCGTCGCCACTATCATCCCACCCTCTCCTGCCTCCAGGGATTTTTTCTCCAACCAGTTATCTGGAACCATCCCGAACTGGCTCACCTCCTTCTCCATCCTAATCGTTCTGTACGCCCAAAACATGCTTCAGGTGTGTGCTTTCCTGCAGTGCTGTGCTCTTCTCCCTCTCCTGAGGACATCTGATCTGAATGAAGCAGGCGACAGCAACTGTCTTGCTCGAGTCGAGAGAGGTTCTTTTGACAGTGCTGTAAAGTGCGATGAGACAGCAGTTGCCCGCTTCACCTTCTCATTCTGAGATTGCGATGAGTAGGGATGGATACGTGCGTGCGGAAGGCCGTCATCGAAAAGGTTGCTTGATTTCAGAAGCCGAGCAGGATGAGACAGAAGGAGGAAACAGTACGACAGATGCTGTACAGTACAGTTCCTCTTCCCTTCTCTGTTCAACCGTGCTCACCACCCTGGTCTAGGAGTATTGCGATGGAACTTACAATTGTGTCCATCCAGTGCTTACAAAGAAAGAGAAGTATACGGGATAACAGCAAGATTGTGGCTGGGATTCGATACCCTTTTTGTCACAGCCAGCATCAGATTTTGTTTTCCAGTGAAGTTGGTTAAATTCTTTAACAACCGCCGTTTTGAACCCAGCAAATACAAATAAGGTGCATTATTTATACCAGCGACAACAGTTAACTTAATCTCTGAATCAAACATAGTCTTGCACGTTATACATTCCACTCCTCAAGCTCTTTCAGTCGTTTCAATTTCTCATCCCTCCATCCATCCATCCATCCAACGCACTCATATTCCAGAGATTTGAGCTACAACAGTCTAACAGGAACGATCCCTTCGTCCGTTGGTTCACTGAGTGTGCTTCAGGGCTTGTGAGTGCTTAGTGCAGCGCATGTATTCAAGTCTTCGTCCTTCCTCACATGGCCGCTATCGATTCAGCCTTCCATTCACAACGTACCCAACCCTACCCATCATTAAGTTATTGACCACCGATCATTCTCCGGTTTTTTTTTTTTTTTTTTTTTTTTTTTTTTCCCTCTCTCTCTCTCTCGTTTTTTTCTTCTCTTCTCTTATATTTCTTTTCTTCTTTCTCGCATCGATTCACTTATTTTCTCTGTATCTGCTTTTCTCCGTTGCTGTTTCATCCCCTTCATGTCTCTTTACTCTCTCTCTGTGCGTTGTTGATTTAACACCCACTCATTAGGTCATTCGCTCACAACCAGCTGTACGGAAGCATCCCCGAAGCACTGACCAGTCTCACAAAGCTCTCTAAATTGTACGTTCTTGGACTTTTTAGAACTGAAAGCATCCCTGAGAGGCACTGACATTTCTCACAAAACTCTTTGTCTTGTACGATACAGCATACCCCACTTCCCCCAAGATCATGCATACCTCCCCACTGCTGTCATCAATGCGTGACTTATCCTGTTGAGAATGCTCAAAAGTAATGCAAATATCATGCACATCCCCAGTGCAGCGCTAGAAACAAGCGTCTCCTCTCCCCTTATTTCTGCCCCACTCCTTCAACTCCATCCATTTCACACCTCTCTCCTTTTCGCCATACAACTGCTCCATCGAACCGCCTCCACTCTTCCCGTATCCCCCCGCGGCCTGCCCCTTCCAATCCCTCTCCTCTCCCTGCAGCGACCTCTCACACAACTACCTCACAGGAGGCGTGGTGAAGCCGATGCAGGCATACGCAGACCTATCCTTCAACTACCTCTCCAGCCCTATCCGCGAGTGCACAACCGGCAACTACGAGGCAAACTGCATCGCAGTGACTGGCGCCTGCCTGGCACAGATGCGCCCGGATTCTGTGTGCAACTCCTTCTGTGGAATCTCGGGGACCTCGGCTGCCTGTGCGGGGCACGGCGTGTGCTACCCTACAGGTGCTAGCTTGCGGCCGGCGTGTGCGTGCGACGAGGGGTTCAAAGTTGTTGATGGCTTGACGTGCGTTCCTGAAGGTAATGACGACCCTCAAGCAAATCTGCTGGCCGTTCATGTGGGGCCCTGATGATGTATGTAGTGCCACGGCTGCAGGCTGTTCATGTAGAGCCTCTTCATGTGTAAGGCTTGTTGGAAAAGGATTGAGTGGGTGCATGTTTACTGTAGCCTTGATTGACTTGTGCTCCTGCCGATGTATCGTTTGTTCGCTCGCTGCATTCCCTGTGCTGGGCTGAGCCGTGGTCTCGCTCTCGCACTGTGTAAAAAGTGCAAACACACGCACATAACACGCTCTGCGAGTCTGTTGTCTCATGTACGAGTGCGACTTTTGAGAATTCTCAAAAGAGTGTGACTTTTGAGAATTCAACTTTTGAGAATTCTCAAAAGTCGCACTCATATTGCTCTGCGGGTCCGTTGTCTCGCGTACCAGCTCCGGGCTGCGTACAACTTCTCCTCACTATATCCCAGCCTCACAAAACATCTTTTCAGGGTTCTCCTGCTTCGTGGGCACCGTTCTGGATTCTGGGTCACATCACAGACCCTGTACTCAGAGCTCGCTCCTCTTTCATTTCTCGTGGTCCTTGTTACAGTTCTCATGTTCCCCATTACTACTCCTCGTGCTTCCCCAAACCCAACCCCTTGCTCGCTCAAATCTACGCAGATCAAGACGAGGGCTACTCGTTCACCAACACCATTGTTCCTCCACAGACCGAACTCACCAAGGGAACACGACAGGAAACAGCAGGCAAGTTCAGTGAAGACCCGGTGATGCTCTTCCTATACGAGCAAGGCCGGGAGGACCCGGGGTGCGGGACCGAGCTCGCATTCAACGTCAACTTCACCTTCTCCCTCTTGCCCAAGCCTGGCAAAGCCGGCGCAAACGGCTTTGCGTTTGTCATCTCTGCAAAGAACCGTCCAGGGAACAGCAGCAGCGGTGGTGTGGGATATGGAGGCATGGAGAGCCGAAGCATGGCGATAGAGTTTGACACGTTTCAGGACCCCAAGAACGGAGACCCGGACTATCAGCACATCGGGCTGAACGTGCAAGGCAGGGACGCGTCACTGGCAACTGCCAAGGCGCCGTTTGTGCTGAACGACCGGAAGCAGTACACAGCATGGGTGGACTACGAGCCGGGGGATCCCGGCACCATTCAAGTGTTTCTGGCAAATTCAACAGCCAAGCTGGGAGCGGCGGTGCTGGAGAGGCGGTTCTCGCTGTGTGAGGTGCTGCAGCCGGGGCCGCCGCAGGTGGAGCAGGGCGAGGAGGCGCAGCTGCAGGCGTACTACATGGGGTTTGTGGCGTCCACCACTGTGGCTCCTTTCCAGAAGCACGTGGTGCTGGACTCCTGGGTGCATGCTGGTGAGGCTGCTGGTCATGGTGGTGGTGGCAGTGGGGGTGGGGGTGGGAGGGGTGGTGGTGGGGTTCTTAGGTTGGTATGTTGTGTCCATGATTGTGTGCAGGTCTATGCATGAGTTATCCATTCCATTCTTCTTCTTTTTTCTTTTCTACAATGTTAACTTAATGCCCGTAAGTTACGATAAACTCACGTCTTCTCTTGCTTGTGTGCTTGACAGGCCTGCCTCCGCCACACAAGCCTGTCAACATCATTCCCGGTAAGTCCTTCAGCTTAGATCAGAGTGCATGTTCAGCTATTGAGTGCTGCAATCACAAATCAATTGTCCTTGTGACAACACTCCTGGGCAAGGGCACTCGCCCGTTCTTCCACGTTCCCCACAAGCAAGACAGCCCCAGGCACGGAAAGCTCTCCCCTTTCCTGCTCGTATGATATGTTCTCAGGCATCTCCCTTTCCGTCTCCCTCATCACCACCACAATGCACACTGCTTCATGTCCACTTCAACACGCCTCTATCCACTCCCACACACCCCTCGCAGCATATGGGCTGGCGGCGGTATCGGTTGAGTCGTACGTGCCGCAGCAGGGGCGAGCCCCTTCTCGCACTACTCCTTAACCATGCACACTGCTTCATCTCCTCTTTAAACACACGCCTCTCAACTCCCACACACCCCTTGCAGCATACGGGCTGAGCGTGTCAGTTGAGACGTACGTGCCGCAGCAGGCGAGTCCGTTCCACTCACTCCCACACACCCCTCTCCATCCCACACACGCCTCTCCATCCCACACACGCCTCTCCATCCCACACACGCCTCCCCACGCCCTGACTCACAGCATACGGGCTGAACGTGTCGGTGGAGACGTATGCACCGCAGCAGGCGAGCCCGTTTCCGCGGTACGTGAGTGCAGACTACCGCGTGGCGGCGGACAAGAAGGACTCGTGGCGCTTCAGCGACTACCACTCCTGGGACTCTGTGCCCTTCCTCGGCTGGCCCGTCAAGGACCAGACCACGTGCAGTGAGTCGAGAGGACCAGACCACGTGTAGTGCGTCGTGGGACATCTCAAATATTGAGTTGTGAGACACGAGCTATTCAAACTCGGAGTTGTGAGACACGAGCTATTCAAACTCGGAGTTGTGAGACACGAGCTATTCAAACTCCGAGTTTTGAGACACCTCAAAACTGGCCCATCAAGGACCAAGCCACCTGCTGCAGTGAGTCATGGGACGTGAGCCGTTTCAACTTGTAACTTGCAGTGATCAGCATTCTGTCTGGTTCGTATTGCTGCTTGAATTGTGGGCATGGCAAGTCTGCAGCTTGTCATCAGCACACGCACAGCACAGGCACTACATAGGCGGCGTATGTAGTGCCTGTGCCAGTGCACTACGTAGGATGCAGCATCTTTCGCTCACATCCTCATCCCTAACCACCTCTTTTATAGACGTCTCAAAAGTAGTGCCTGTGCCTGTGCCAGTGCACTACATAGGATGCAGTGTCTTTCGCACACATCCTCATCCCCAACCACCTCCATCAACGAACCCCCTGCCTGCAGATGCGTGCTGGGCATACGCAGTGGTGGCGAGCATAGAAGCGGCATACGGCATAGCGACAAGACAGGAAGCGCCGCGGCTGTCAGTGGACTCGCTCTTCACACTCATGGGCCTCACCACCGCGGCTGACAGGTGCTCTGCAGGGGGCTCGCCCACAGAGGCCTTTGAGAAGCTGCGCGCTCTGCCTAAGGACGGGCTTGTGCTGGCTGGGACCAGTGCTTCACAGACGAACAAGGATGCGGTGAGTAAAGGGGTGGGGCTGTGTGAAACGCACTGTGCAGGCATGCATGGGCGTGGGTGGGGATTGGATTGGGGTAGCTGACCATTTGGTTGGAATGTGAACGGGGACCTTCGGGTATGCTCTTTCTCCAGCCTCGTATTGAATAAGTAGTCCATCTTCGCTTAAAAACAGGGTGAATCTGCTCTTTTTTTTTTTTTTTTTTTTTTTTTTTTGTTGTTAAATTCTCGGGCTGAATCTGATAGATTCGAACATAGTAGTACATCCTCACCTGAAAAACAAGGGATGTACGGAACTGATGATTGGGAAACGGGGACCCTTGGGTTTAGCTCTTGTGTCCCATTAATATGTTTAAAGCTTTCGTATACATTTGCAAGTACTGTTTGGACTTGCACTGTAGCCAGGGAAAAATTCGCCAGAACGAAACAACTGAGCGTGGCGAGAGGTTTGGCGAAAAATTGCAGCTTTGAGGAGTTCCAAACACAGGAAACTCCCCCGTCACCCAACCTTGGAGTCAGATTTCACTAGGAACCATGATATGTGACTAACACACGCTAAGCATAGATAGAGGAACCGGGGCGCGACAAAGAACATGCGGAGCATCGACACCGCTCAGATATTCTCATGTGAGATGAGTTTAGGTAACATTATAGGCTTGTGCGAGTGGGAAAATACATCTAGCTTGCACGCCAGCTCCTTTCCACTGCTGCGCCGTTCAGCGGCAATCGGAGAGGGAAAGGCTCTGCATTCGTCGAGCGCGTCGTGCTGCATTGATGGGCCCCGTCGAAGCCCTGTCAAGGGCGCCTCGACGGGTTGCATCACCACGCTGGGTAGGTGCGATCGAGTAAGCCGATTGAAAATTACGGAGCCGACGGCGGGATCGCATCGTTCCATGCGTTGGCCACGCCGCCACTCTCAACACCCGCTCGGTAGGCATTTCCCGCTTAGCGCCTCACCCACTGCGCGGGTCTCCCGCTTACCGCCTCCAATGCTGGGAGCTCTCCCGCTTAGCGCCTCACCCTCTGCGCGCCATGCCGCTTAGCGTATCACTCGCCGCGCGCCTTTCCCGCTTAGCGCCTGACCCGCTGCGCGCCTCTCCCGCTTAGCTCCGCAACCGCTGCGCGCCTCTCCCGCGCAACGAATCACTCGCTGCGCGCCTCTCTCATTTCGCGCCTCACCCCCTGTGCGCCTTTCCCGCGTGTCGCCTCACCCTCTCCCGCTTAGCGCCGCACCCGCTGCGCGCCTTTCCCGCTTAGCGCCCGCATAGCGCCTCTCCCGCTAAGCGCATCCTCTTCTAATTACCCCCCCTCCCCCCTTCTCCCCCTCACAACCCCCCCTACTCCCTCTCCACTTGCCTCCCTTCTCCCCCTCATTTCCCCCCCTTCTCCCCCTATTTTTCCCCCCTTCTCTCCCTCATTTTCCCCCCTTCTCTCCCTCATTTTCCCCCCTTCTCCCTCTCAGTTCTAACCCTTCTCCCCCTCATTCCCCCCATTCTTCCCCTCATTTCCCAGCCTTCTCCTCCTCATTCCCCCCATTCTTCCCCCTCATTCCCCCCCTTTTCTCCCTCAACCCCCCCCCCTTCTCGCCCTCATTTCCCCCCCTTCTCCCTCTCACTTCCCCCACTGCTCCCCCTCATTTCCCCTCCTGCTCCTTCTCACTTCCCCCACTGCTCCCCCTCATTTCCCCTCCTGCTCCTTCTCACTTCCCCCACTGCTCCCCTTCATTTCCCCTCCTTCTCCTTCTCACTTCCCCCACTGCTCCCCCTCATTTCCCCTCCTGCTCCTGCTCACTTCCCCCACTGCTCCCCTTCATTTCCCCTCCTGCTCCTTCTCACTTCCCCCACTGCTCCCCCTCATTTCCCCTCCTGCTCCTTCTCACTTCCCCCACTGCTCCCCTTCATTTCCCCTCCTCCTCCCTCTCATTTCCCCCCTTACTCCTCTCATCTCCCCCCCTCCTCCCTCTCATTTCCCCCCTTGCTCCTCTCATCTCTCCCCCTCCTCCCTCTCATTTCCCCCCTTGCTCCTCTCATCTCTCCCCCTCCTCCCTCTCATTTCCCCCCTTGCTCCTCTCATCTCTCCCCCTCCTCCCTCTCATTTCCCCCCTTGCTCCTCTCATCTCTCCCCCTCTCCCTCTCATTTCCCCCCTTGCCGCCTCTCACTTCCACCCTTGCTCACTCTCGCTTCCCTGCTTCCCTCTCATTTCCCTCCTTCACCCCTTCATTTCCCAACCTAAACCCTTATTTTCCCCACCTTGCTCCCCGTCATTTCCCCCTCTTCTCCCCTTATTTTTCCCACCTTGCTCCCCTTCATTTTCCTCCCAGCTCTGGCATAGCCCCACTGCCCTCCCGTCCTTTTCATCTTCCCTCCCTTACAGGGTGGATCCCTTGCAAAATACTGCCCCACACTCGCTCCCTTCCATTCTCCCTTCCACGCTCTCCCATCGCCATGCCTTAATTTCTCATCCCCCCTCCTTCCAGGGTCATCTCACCTCCCATGAGATCCCACTCGCTCCTTCAGTCCCTGCCCATACTGCCGCCGCTGCTGCCTTTGCCGGAGCTGCCTCTGCTGCCACACCCAGTGTTCCTTCCTTTGGTGTTCCCCCCGGAGCAGGAGGTAGCTCAGGAAAGGAGGGGAAGGCATGGTGGAGGAGGAGGAGACATGAGGCGAGCAGCCAGTGGGGAGGATTGTTCGCCCCACTCCTTTGACTATGGACTGCCGACGCCGGCTGTTGGCCCCAACCCGTGTGACTCTGCAACTGCCCCGGTTCTGACCATACTTCTGCTCCTGCGGATTGAGCTCCTACTGGACCTAGCATTTGTGGAGCAAATGTAGCAGCAGCTCCCACGAGGAGTTGGAGCTGGGATGATCTTGCAAGAACAGCGGCAGGTGCATGGGCAGCAACAGCAGAACCAAGAGCGAGTGAGCCCTGCTGCGGTCTCACAGCCGAGCGCGCTCATGAGTGCGCAAGCCGCAGGAGATGCAGCATGCCGGGTCTCTCACGCTGGGTGCACACTATCGAAGCAGCCATGTCAGCAGTGGACTGGGGAGCGAGCAGGGTGTGAGGCTCGATGAGGAAGCGAGGCGGAGGGAGAGGGAGAAGGAGGAGGTAGCGAGGCTGTTGCGGCAGATGGTGCGTGCAAGCGAGCTCGACTCATCTCAAGTTTTGTCCCATCGTTCACGCCTCTCAGGTACTGTGCGCGTCCCATCGCATGCCTTGGGACTTGCCTAGACAACCGTTTTCACGCCACTTGGATGACTAAGGGCACTCTCTCCAGGCTTTGGTTGAGCTCACCCTGATATGTGCCTTCTTTTTCCCCTTCCTCGTCCCTTTCTCAGCCCTGACCCCCCCCCCACTCCTCTCACCGGCAGGTCCACCAAGCAGCACACAATGCATCGCTCCCCTCTGCTGCACACCAACGCCAGGCATACAACAGCAGCCGCCAACTTGTGCGGCAGCTCCCTGCGTATTTATTACTATGCACTTGTGATTCAAGAAGCATGCATACACTCCCAACTCTAGTATATTTTTGGCACTTCAGGACCAAAATCAAGCTCGTAGCCTCACAACATGTTTTATAAAAAAAGTCCTTACAATTGTATCACTATATACATAACCTTTATCACCCAACCCTGGATTCTTCGATACCAATCACGTGACTAGTCATATGCCTGTGCACGAATGCAGGGAATGGAAGGGAATGGCAGGGAATGGAAGTGTATGGAAGGGAATGGAAGTGTATGGAAGGGAATGGAAGGGTATGGAAGGGTATGGCTGGGGTATGGAAGGGAATGGTAGGTATGAAAGGGAATGGAAGGGTATGGAAGGGTATGGAAGGGAATGGAAGGGTATGGAAGGGAATGGAAGGGTATGACAGGGGATGGATGGGTATGGCTGGGGTATGGAAGGGTATGGAAGGGAATGGAAGGGTATGGAAGGGAATGGAAGGGTATGGAAGGGAATGGAAGGGTATGGAAGGGTAGGGAATGGAAGGGAATGGAAGGGTATGGAAGAGAATGACAGGGTATGGCAGGGAATGGCAGGGGATGGAAGGGAATGGCGGGGTATGGAAGGGAATGGAAGTGTATGGAAGGGAATGGAAGGGTATGGAAGGGAATGGAAGGGTATGGAAGGGAATGGAAGGGTATGGAAGGGAATGGAAGGTATGGAAGGGTATGGAAGGGAATGGAAGGGTATGACAGGGGATGGATGGGTATGGCTGGGGTATGGAAGGGAATGGTACACTTACGCTAGGGAAGGAAAGGTATGGCAGAGTATGGCAAGGTATGGCAGAATGAGGGACGGGCTTGGCTGTCGTATGGAAGGGTATGGGAGGAGATGGAAGGGTGTGGCGGTGTATGGCAGCGGATGGATGAGTATGGCATGCGATCATCCAAGGGTACGGTAGGGGTTAGAAGCGTATGAGAGGGAGAAGGGGGGAAAATGAAAGGAGATGGGGGGAAATGAGCGGGGGGGAAACGAGATGGAGAAGGGGGGGGGAATGAGAAGGAGCACGTGGGGAAAGGAGAGGGAGATGGGGGGAAACGAGAGGGGGAAGGGGGGGGGAATGCGGGGAAATGAGAGGGAGGTTATGTGGCATTTAACTGAGTGGTTAAGGGGGGAATGAGAAGGAGCAGGGGGGAGAATGAGAGGGATAAGGGGGGGAAATGAGAGGAAGAAGGGGGGTACATGAGCGAGAGAAGGGGGGACATAACAGTGAGCAGGGGGGAGGATGAGAGGGAGAAAGGGGGGGAATGAGGGGCTTCATGGGGGGAATGAGAGGGAGTAGGGGGGAGGAATGAGGGAGAGCATGGGGGGGAAATGAGAGTGAGCAAGGGGGAAAATGAGAGTCTGCAAGGGGGGAAATGAGAGTGCGGCTGCCGCGGCTAGTGCGGGAACGTGGTAGCGAGGCTGTGCGATCGGGCGGCGACTGTGATGTGTGTTCGGCAGTTTGAGAAGGGAGGCGAGAAGGGATAATCGGGAGTGGGAAGGGGAAGCGGGGAGGCGGGAAGGGGAATTGGGGAGGCGGGAAGGGGAAATGGGGAGTGGGAAGGGGTAATGGGGAAGCGGGAAGGGGTCACGGGGAGGAGGGAAGGGGTAGTGGGGAGCGGGAAGGGGAATTGGGGAGGCGAGAAGGGGTAATGGGGAGCGGGAAGGGGAATTGGAGAGGCGGGAAGGGGTAATGGGGAGCGGGAAGGGGAATTGGGGAGGCGGGAAAGGGTAATGGGGAGCGGGAAGGGGAAACGAGGAGGCGGGAAGGGATAATGGGGAGCGAGAAGAGGAAATGGGGTGGCGGGAAGGGGAATTGCAGAGGCAGGAAGGGGTAATGGGGAGCGGGAAGGGGAAACGAGGAGGCGCGAAGGGGTAGTGGGGAGCGGGAAGAGGAAATGGGGTGTCGGGAAGGGGAATTGGGGAGGCGGGAAGGGGAAACGGGGAGGCGGGAAGAGGTAATGGGGAGCAATCGTTTCTGATTACCCTCGCGACACCTCAATTGCGGCTGCCGCCGCTACTGCGGAAACGTGGTAGCGAGGTCGCGCGATCGGGAAGCGACTGTGATCGTGCGTGTTCGGCAGTTTGAGACGCAGCGTGCGCGTTCATGGTGGCGTGAGGAGGCCGCGTGGTGAGGCAACGCGACGGACGACGAGGCGAGGCTGTGAGAAGGGGTCCGGCGGGCTCGCCGTGTTAGAGGGCGGAACTGACGTTGGCTCGGACGTGTAATTACACTAAACTGCCCCACGCGTCTAAGTTTGTGTCGGAAACGGGAGTGATTTGCGCTGGCTGTTGTCGCGATGTGCTTTGCTACGATTTATGCTGCCTGTTGAGCGTAGTGGCGTAGATCTCACATGGACTGGATTTCGTATACTTTTGTTATTCCAAAAGTTTTGAATCACCAGTGAGCCCTGGGTGACGGGGAGATCACCTCCCTTGTGAAGCGAGTGAAACTAGCTGTTTCTGGGTTACCAATATTTCAAATTTCAAAACTTTTGAACCTCCCTTTTTCAAATGTATACGAAAGCTTTAACTGATGATGGTGTATCTACCTGTCGACCAATTTACCTCTCTATACGCATTTCCTCCCCTCTCCCTCCAATTTCCCGCCCATCCTCCCCATTCCCCTCCTCCCTTTCTCTCGCCCCTCTCTTCACCGCCCCCAACATGAACGTGAGAAGAAGCGGTACCCGATCCAGGGCTTTGAGCGCACGTTCTTCAAGGGGTACATGGGGCTCATGCTGGCAGTGCAGCGCCAGCCAGTCGTGGTGCACATCGAGGCCTCAACACAATCATTCCTCGAATACGACGGGGTCAGTCACCCTTGCTTGCTCTTACTCCCTGCTTTCAAATATTCCCTGTGTGGTGACTTTTGAGTTGATTACGACGGGGTGAGTCACCCTTGCTTGCTCTTATTCGCTGCTTACGATTATTCTTTGTGAGGTGACTTTTGCGTCGACTCACAAGGCACCCAGCCAGTAGCGGTGCACATACAGGCCTCCATCCACACAGTCCTTTCTCGAATACGATGTGGCGTGCTCTGCTTTCTCTTGCCTCTGATTCCCTGCCAGCGCTGCTGCTCGTCTGTGCTGCTGCTCGTCTGTGCTGCTGCTCTTCTGTGCTGCTGCTCTTCTGTGCTGCTGCTCTTCTGTGCTGCTGCTCTTCTGTGCTGCTGCTCTTCTGTGCTGCTGGAGAGCGGAGTGCCAAAACAAATTCTTTCTTGTTTTGTTTGTTTCGTTTTTGCCCGTGTGCTTTTTTTCTCTTGTTCTTCTGCTTTTGTAATCGTGGTGCACACGTTTTCCTTGATTTTATATTGGTTTAAGGTTGGTTCTTCTCTTTCTTCCCTCCTGCCCTGTCTCCCCTCCGTCCCCTCCCTTCCCTCTCACCCCTCCCTCTCTCCTCTCTCGTACCAGACCTTCAAGTACCAGGACCCACAGTGTTACTCGGCCAATCTGAACCACGTGGTACTCGTTGTGGGCTACTTCATTTTCCGCGACGACGGCAGCCAGAACCGCATAGCGCCGCCCTTCTGGATCGTGCGCAACTCGTGGGGAGTGGAGTGGGGCGACCGGGGCCACATGCGCATGGACATCCAGGGAGGGGACGGCGTGTGTGGCATCAACGTGCTACCTGGCATCGTGCCCATTGTCAAGAGTATGTATGCCTTCTTCCCTCCACCCAGCCTTCGTTCTGGAGGAGAACTCACTGTGCTGCCTGCCCGGTTGTGTTTTTTTCTCTAATGCAAGTCAGGCATAAAAAAAAGGTAACATGACGTTGGCGTTTTATCCATCTTACATATCGTCTGCATGGGACTCGCAAATATTCACGAGCCCCGTTCTTTTTCCATCAACCAGCCATGTTTTCATCAACCACCTACTTCCACATAAGCATCACAAATAGAAACTTCCACACGTCAACTCCACCCCATCACCTGTTTTCTCCACCCTTGCTCCTCTTTTGTTCCTGACTCCAGTTCCCAAGGACCCGTGTGGGCTGAGGAGCTACAAGGGCGATGGGGACGTGCAGCCCACGATGAACCCATGTGGGCGCTTCACGTGCCGCCCCGTCCCCAAGAACGACTCCAACTCCTGCGACTGCGTCATCCCGGAGGAGCCCAAGCAGCCCTTCGCTGAGGTCGCCAATGGATACGGCTCCAACATCTGTGCCTACGGTGAGGCTGTTGGCTCCAACACCTGTGCCTACGGTGAGGCTGTTGGCTCCAACACCTGTGCCTATGGTGAGGCTGTTTGCGCCAACACCTGTGCCTATGGTGAGGCTGTTTGCGCCAACACCTGTGCCTACGGTGAGGCTGTTGGCTCCAACACCTGTGCCTATGGTGAGGCTGTTTGCGCCAACACCTGTGCCTATGGTGAGGCTGTTTGCGCCAACACCTGTGCCTATGGTGAGGCTGTTTGCGCCAACACCTGTGCCTATGGTGAGGCTGTTTGCGCCAACACCTTTGCCTATGGTGAGGCTGTTTGCGCCAACACCTTTGCCTATGGTGAGGCTGTTTGCGCCAACACCTGTGCCTATGGTGAGGCTGTTTGCGCCAACACCTGTGCCTATGGTGAGGCTGTTTGCGCCAACACCTTTGCCTATGGTGAGGCTGTTTGCTTGCGCCAACACCTGTGCCTATGGTGAGGCTGTTTGCGCCAACACCTTTGCCTATGGTGAGGCTGTTTGCGCCAACACCTTTGCCTATGGTGAGGCTGTTTGCGCCAACACCTGTGCCTATGGTGAGGCTGTTTGCGCCAACACCTTTGCCTATGGTGAGGCTGTTTGCGCCAACACCTTTGCCTATGGTGAGGCTGTTTGCGCCAACACCTTTGCCTATGGTGAGGCTGTTTGCGCCAACACCTGTGCCTATGCTGTGGTTATGGTGAGTCCGTTTTCTTGCAATGAGGTATTCTCATACCGCCATTGCCCGACATTGTAGCCTACTGTGTCGCCTCCATAAAAAGCTCTGTAACCCTGCCCAGGTCAGTAACGCCCTTTCTTTCAACTTTGTGATTTCTTTTCTTGACCCCGCAACCCCCTTCGCTTAACCCTGCAACCCGCTCTGCCCCACTTTGAAGTCCCTCTGCCCCACTTTGCGACCCGCCAGTGGACGTCTGTGGGTCATACTTCAAGAGCCCCTGCTCTCAACTCTGTAACCTCCTTTGCTAAATCCTGTAACCATCTTTGCCCAACCCCACTCTGCAACCCGCCAGTGGACGTGTGTGGGTCGTACTTCAAGAACCCCTGTGCGGTGGGCACATGCATCAACGATGGCAAGGGCGCCTACTCCTGCATCTGCCCTCCCACCTACATCTCCAGCCGCACCATTCCCAACTTCCCCACCTGCGACCCAGGTGCTGCTCCTGCCCCTGCCCCTGCCCCTGCCCCTGCCCCTGCCCCTGCCCCTGCCCCTGCCCCTGCACCTGCACCTGCCCCGCCATGCAATCCACGCCACTCACACCCCTGTTGTTGCAGCTTGCATCTTGAAGAGAGAATCAGTAGTAGCCTTATTTCTGTAAGAAGTCTACAGGAACCAGCTAACTGTAGAATTCAGGAGGATTTAACCACTTCCCCTGCATACTTCTGTCTAATTAACTATGCACCGTACTCTCTCTCTCTCCTCATGTCATCCTGTGTGCATACTCCTATCCTACTTCAACCCACGACCCTGCACTCTCCCTGCTGCCCACCCCTCGTACCTGCCTCTCTCCCAGTGAATGTCACGGCCACATCAATGGCAGTGAGCGGGGTCAACTGGCGCTGCTCGGACGTCTATCCCATTGTGGGGATATCGTACAATCAGTTCAAGCAGCAAAACCCTGTACGTGTGTCGCCTTATCGTTTTCTGTCAATGAATTAGCCAAGTGTGTGTTGCAGAAGAGACCGATTGGTCACAGACTGGAAAGTACGCCTCGTAAGTGCTACACTAAATCACCTTGGAGTTGCGTTCATGCTCAGTGTAAGAGGTTGCGAGCTTACTTAAAGAGACCTACAAGAAAGATACAAGGTCCATGGGAGGCCCATGCCAACGGCTGTGTGAAGAGTAGAGGGCAACATGAGCCGGAGGTGAGTGAATGGCAGCACGCATACAACCAAAGTCTTTCAATAAATACAGACAAGTGTCAGTGCTTTTGCCTCGTTTGTTCATTCGGGTAAATAGAAAGACCTCCACTTTCTGTGCCTTACTCCCATCCGTTGCATGCACTTCCTCTTTCTGTCTGGCCTGGCCAGCAAGTGGACTGCACTAAGCCGTTGGCGATAAACACAACGCTGTCTGTGGGTGGGAGTCCTGAAATCCCCTGCACTTCCTATTTCTACGCCCTCCAAGTGAGCACTGATAAATGCATGCCCGTTCTATGCCCGCTCTTTCTTTCTTTCTTTCTTTTGCTTCTTTGTCGCTTATTAACCGTCGCAATCAAAGCTATCCTTCACCGCAAGGGTCCTTGCCAAGCTTGTCCTTGTCTTACGTGGAGTTTTCATCTCTAGCCAGAGTCCTGCTGCTCCACGCCTCAACAGGACCCTGGGATCTGCTTCAGGAATCACTCTTTTTGTACATCCCACTGTCTCATCACTGCCCTTTATCAAAACAACATTGCCGTAATCCAAGACATCCCTCTGTGCAACAAGGAGAGCTGAGACCTGCCTCATTCGACCATCTCTTTGCATGCCACGAAGCAAGCAAGAAGCAAGGACAAGAAACCACTTTTTTCCACTACCCCCATTTTTTATCCCCACACCCATTCGTGATCCCATTCGTGATCACACCCATTCTTTATCCCCACACACATTCTTGATTTCCACTCCCATTCTTAATCCCCACAATTATACAAAATCCCCACACCCAATCTGAATCCCCACACATCCCTACACCCACTCTTAATCTCCATACCCTCAATCCCACACCAAATCCTCATCCCCACACTCCAGGGTGACACGTGTCGTTCCATGGCATATCAGCTCATAATGACCCGCAGCAAGCTCATGGAGCTCAACCCCGGGCTTGACTGCGCGGTGCCCATCAAGCCCGGCCGCTCCGTATGCATCGAGCGCAGTGCTGCCTACGCGTACGCCGTTCCGTTATGCCTCAAGTACGGGGTCATGCTGGCACAGGACTCGTGCGAGCGCATGCTGCAAGGGCTGGCGGGAGATGTGAACGCGACGACGTGGGCCATGCTGTATCGCACCAACCCCGGGCTGGTGTGCTCGCAGGTCATCCCGACTTCCATCGCGGCGGTTGGCAGCAACATCGGCGTGCAGGTGATGTGTGGTTTTGGGGCCTTTGGTGTTGATTTTGTTCACAAGCAGCGGTGGGAGTAGAATGGTGTGTGTGAGATGATATACTGAATTTTTTTGTGAGAATTATGGTTGAGATGGTATGGGCAAAAATGAGTCACAAAGAATGATATCTTGATTTTTTCTCCCAGTCTGTCATAATGATGTGTAGCTGTGCATACGATTACTCTAGCGTTGGCTCTACTCCCTCTCTCTATTCTTTCCACGTGTCTTCCTACCCCCAGGTTTGCCTAAGGGTGGAGTACTGGCCGTTCACACTCGGCCGATGCACCAAGGGAAGGGCCAAGGTGGTGTCACCAACGCTGTCTTGTTCCGGTGCTTACAGCTTCTATGATGCCAACAGCAAGAAAGCCTCTGCCAAGTTCTCTACGTACAATGGAAACGCATGTGCTAAGAACGTGGGAGGCAAATATATTTGCGTGCCATAGGGTCATCGTTCGTACTGGTACGGTAGATGCTGCCAAGTCCGCTCCTCGCTCCACTCCACAATCACCAGAGACTGGTACTACTACAGTTTTCTTTTCCTGCCGCCTTCTGTGCCTAAGTTTCTGCATACTAGGGGTCAGAAAAATACCAGGGTGCTTTCTCCCACATGATGTTGAAGAAGCCTGATCTTCAAGCACCCTTGTTTTTTATAGGGAAAGTATGTCACAAGTAACCAACATGGGACTCCATAACGCAAATGGTAAAAAAGTAACGCGTACGGTCACTGTATCGGGTTTGCTGACCGTGACCCCACTTACCGTAAGTGGGGTCACGGTTTCAGTCACTAACAACAGGTAGAAAATCACGCGAATGGTCACACATGTAACTCCCGCCAAACATTCTTGAAACTCTACAAAATTCCCGCTCGCGCTCAACCAATCAGGTAACTTCTAAAAAAAAACTAAAAACCAATCGGAATCGGATGCATTTGGGAACGGATCAACCCTAAACACCTGGCGAGTTGTGTTTAGGGTTGATTCATCCGAAAATGCATCCAGGTTCGTTTTGGGTATTATATTTTTTCGGGCGGGAGTTTCATCTGTGACCATTCGCGTTATTTGTTCCCAGTTGATTGTGATTGATTCCGTGAAACGTTTTATCAAACACGTGAAAACACCCTTTGCAGTGACCGTACCCGTTATTTTTTTACCGAACATATTATCGAGACCCTTGTTGATTACGAGTGGCATATTTTCCCTTTTTTATAACGCAACAAGAACCATGGTTCTTTAGAACCCCGGGTTTTCTAGAAAAAAAAATGCTCAAATTTCTGTTAGTGATGGCTGTATCGTTGTGTGTTGATGGCAAAAGTGAGTCAGTCCTAGTCTCCTAGAGCTTTCCTCTGCCTTCCTATGTGATGTTCGTAGGTATGGGTACGTCTTAAGAACGGGGTGCAACGGAATGATTGTGATTAGCAAAGCAAGGGGTACAAATAGGAAAACTGTTGTACTCACGAAAGAGCACCTCACTGTTGCCTACAACAAACAACAACATTTGACACACCCCCATAGGCTAAGTGAGGGGCATCAAAGCAAGTAAGTCACCAAACGGTCACAAGACCAGTCAAAGCAAGCAACAAAGCAAAGCTCAGGGTGGATCACGACGTCACCACGCATTCTGAGCACAAACAAACGGCCACAAGGCCAGTCCACGAGGTTACACAAGATATATAGGTGCAAGTACAAGCAGAGCAAGGCTACGGCAGACGAGCAACAGAGTCAACAAGCTCTAACTGCACACAGAACCGGTGGTGATCACCAGGTGCCAAGGCCTTGGTGAAGAGGCCTGCAGTGTTGGCCTCCGAGGCCACAAAGTACAGGCGCACCTGGCCACGACGCTGCAGCTCGCGTAGGAGGAAGTACCGAACGTCGATGTGCTTCACCCTGGTCTCCAATCGAGGCTCGCGACACGAGAGAATCATGGCCTTGTTGTCAGCGAACAAGGTCGGAGCAGTGCGAGGCCGCTCACCAAGGTTGGTGAGCAAGAAGGTCAACCAGCGAAGCTCCTGAGCAGCCATAGCACCGGCGTAGATATCTGCCTCTGCTTTGGACGAAGCCACAGACGACGACCGAGTGGACCTCCACGACACAGCCCCAGCTCCCAGACTGAAACAGTAACCCTGGTTCGAGCGCTGAGTCTCCACGTCGTCAGCGTAAGAAGAGTCACAGAGGCCAGTCAACTCAACTGGCCGAGTCCCTCCAAGCACAAGCCTCATGCCTGATGTAGTCGCCAGGTACTTCGCCACCCGCACGGCAGCCGTCCGGTGAACAGGACGGTGCCTCCCAGGTCCAACAAAGCGAGAGAGGACACTAAGAGGGTAGGCTAGGTCCGGGCGAGTACAGGTCATCAGGTACATGAGGCAGCCAACAAGCTCTGGGTAGGGACCACTGGGCTCAAAGGGCTCGTCGGGAAGGGGCCGGTGAGTCTGTGGTTTACAGCAAGAGGAGTGGGCTGTGTGGTGGAGTGCTGAAGCCCGAACCGCTGAAGGACATGCTGCACCATGTGTGACTGAGTCAACGTGATGGTGCGAGCGGCTCTGTCCCTGGTGATCTGCAGGCCAAGGTAGCGCTGCAATTCACCAAGGTCAGTGCACGTGTGTCTCTTCTGCAGTTCGGACTTCACCTCAGCCAGAGCTGCCCTGTCTGGTGTAGCAAAAACCAAGTCGTCGACGTAGACGAGTATAAAGAAAGGAGTGGAGCCGGCACGAACAAACAGTGACGGGTCAGCAGAGGAAGGGCGAAACCCTAGGTCACAAAGCGTGGAACGAAGAGTGCCGTGCCACTCACGGGGTGACTGGCGGAGACCGTAGACTGGTCGCCTCAGGCTCCACTGGGTCCCAGGAGGGAAAGTACCAGTGAAACCAGGAGGACGTCGCAGCCAGATCTCCTCGTGCAGTCGTCCTTGGAGAAAGGCAATGGAGAAGTCGAGGGAGTGGAGCTCGTAGTCTCGCTGTGCTGCTACGTGGAGTAACACCCGAAGTCTAGTCATCTTTGGGGTCGGAGCGAAGGTCTGAAAGAAGTCAACTCCCTCGCGCTGACTGAAGCCTCTCGCCACATCGCGCGCCTTGAACACCGGCGGTGATCCAGGCGGCCGCTTCACCTTGAAGAGTCACATGCCATCGACTACGTTCTCCCGGGGAGGGGGGACTGCGTCGACGTACGTGCCTGCAGATCTCCAAGACGCCAACTCTGAATCCATGGCCACCTTCCACTGAGAGGCCCACGGCCCTGACACTGCCTCACGGTACGTGCGAGGAGTCGGTATGTCAAGGGCGTCGGGGTCTCCCTCAGGGGAAAGCAGCATGGCACAGAGAGAGGGAGAAGCGGCTGCCAGGTACTCCAGCTCAGAGTGCTTGTCCTCTAGGACGTCACAGCCAAGGGCAAACTCACCCCCGACGGACAGAGTGTTGTAGTCAAGGCGGCTGGCGACGGCAAAGTCAGCGACAGCGGCAATGAGAGCCGAGACAAACGACGGAGAGAAACGAGGGTCTGTGATGCCAGTGGCTAGAACACGGGAGACAACAGGGCGAACAGCACGGTATTAGTCGAAGATAGGAGTAGGGGAGACAGGAAGAGAAGACGGAGGAGGAGACGGGAGAACGGACACCGGAGGAGGAGAACGACGAAGAGACGTACAAAGGAGGGCAGTGCGGAGGTCGGTAACGGGGGACGAGGGACGAGCACTCGGAGACAAGGACGGGCACGGTAGTGACGGACAACAGGAGGAGGAGACTGCAGTGGAGGGGAAGACCAGACCGCCGGAGGGTCGTCAGGAGGAGGAAACGTAGGACCAAACGCAAGGGGAGACTGAGAGCGGACAGGAGGAGAGGAGGGAAGACCAAGGGCACGGAGGCCACTCACGGGCGGGAACAACTGCCGCTCTAGAGGGAGCTGCTGCGGCTGCGGTGGCGGCGGCGGCTGCTGCCGCTGCTGCTGCTGCTGTGGCTGCGGCGGCTGCTGCCGCTGCTGCTGCTGCTGTGGCTGCGGCGGCTGCTGCCGCTGCTGCTGCTGCTGTGGCTGCGGCGGCTGCTGCTGCGGCTGCCGCTGCTGTGGCTGCGGCGGCTGCTGCTGCGGCTGCCGCTGCTGCTGCTGCTGATGCAGCAGCTGCTGCTCCAGCAACTGCCGCAACGCCTGCCGCTCCCGCTCCAACCGCTCTTGCTCCTCGCGCGCACGCCGGCAGGCCGCCTGGTAACGCGTGTCGTGGCGGTGGGGAGGCGGAGTGCTCTCCGCAGACGTAGTGCCCCCAGCTCCAGTCTCCTCAGAACTAGCACCCCCAGTACCCGTGTCCCCAGAGCGGGTACCACCAGGGTCAGGGTCCCCAGCTCCAGCGCCCCCTGTCCTAGCACCCCCCGTGCCAGGACCTCCAACCCCAGCACCCCCAGAATTAGCACCTCCAGTGCCATCACCTCCAGCTCCAGCACCCCCAGAACTAGCACCTTTAGTGCCAAGACCTCCAGCTCCAGCACCCCCGCGGCTAGAGCCACCTGCGCCAGCACCTCCAACTCCAGCACCCCTCAAACGAGCACCCCCAAACCGAGTACCGCCAGTGGCTGCACCTCCAGCTCCAACACCAACCGAGTCCACAGTAACATGTCGCGGAAGTACCGAAGGCTGCTGAGGGGACTGTGAGGAGGACTGCTGGGAGGGAGACGCTACCTGACGCACGACCGAGGGTAGAGGGGTAGCGTGAGACACACCTGACGGGGCAGGACCAGGGGGGGGTGGGGGTACCGGAGGAGCGGGAGCAGGGGGAAGAGAGGGTGCGAGGAAAAGGGGGGGAGGGGGAACCGGGAGACCTCGACAGGGGTACCGGGTGTAGTAGGACACTGACTCGCCGAACCGGACGTCACGAGAGTCTAGGAACTGGTGGAGGGGCAGGTGGTAAAAGGACCAGTCGGCCGAGGCTACCGGGAAACCAAGGAAGACACAGGGGACGGCGCGAGCCGAGAGCTTGTCCGCAGAGGTGTCGCGGACAAGCACAAGGCAGCCCCAGACACGAAAGGCTGACCCAACACCAGGGGACCCGGTCCAAAGACTGGT